GCAATCCTCTGAGGATTGCCGTTTCACCTATCCTCTAGAGGATTTTGACCCTAGCCATTTGTCTACCTGTGCAGAAAAAGAGAGAAAAAGTGAAAGAGAGAAAAAATAGAGAAGAAAAAAAAAAGGAAACAGTAAAAATGGGCCGTTTTATACATTCAAAATTTTTGTTCAAAAGTACAAATTTCCCGAAATTCCGGAACTTACACAAAGAGAGGCGTTTGTCCAAAAATATTCAAAAAATTCGGAACGAACCTGGGCGCCAAAATTTGTACCAGTCTGTCCGGGGATATAGTAGTACCGATTTGGACATCCGGCAATATAGTTCCGGTTTGGACTATTACTGGAGCGCAGAGGGCTATTTCGGTGATCGAAATCGCTCTATCGCCGTCCACGGTCTTTCTCTTGAGGGGAAGAAGGCAACTAAACTGTCGATGAAGACCTTGGCGAGGCGCTCAATGGTCTGGGGTTGGCACCTGGCGCAACGCCAACCCGGGCTTCCATGAAAGCCGTGCAGACATGGTTGCGTGTAGAGAGGAAAAAGAGGGTGTAGCGGAGGCGATTATTGCAGATCTGAAAGACGATCTTTGTGAGGAGTCCCTTGCCCACCTGAACATGGACCAACTGAACGTAGACTCGGACGACGACGAGGCCGACTCTTCGGCGGGAGACGAGGGACAGTGTACGCAGCCCCTGGTCTCTCCTCGTCCGCCACCGTACGCTGACGTATCTAGGCAGTTGGGAGACCTAGAAGAAATAGCAGAGAGGTGCAGCATGGCCGGGGTAGCTTACCATCTTCTTCGCAAGGCGAAGTTATAGGGCCGTTTTATACATTCCAAATTTTCGTTCAAAAGTACAAATTTTCAGAAATTCCGGAACTTGTACAGAGGCGTTGGTCCAAATATATTTAAAAAATACGGAACGAACCTGGGCGCCAAAATTTGTACTCAGTAGCTTCCAAATTTTCCAAATATATTGGCGCATCACAACAAACCCAGCAGCTAAAGGACCTACAGGGCCAACTACAAGGGAGAAGCAGCAGCGGGGGGTAGTTGGATAGCGGCAGGGCCATTGCGGACCGCAGGAAACGCGGCGTGCCTCTTGGTTCGTCGTGTGCTGGCCCACCGAGAAACGCGGCGTGCCTCTTGGTTCGTCGTGTGCTGGCCCACCGAGTCAACGATTCAGGCGTGCATCCGGTCGCCAAGAAGAGCTGGTTGGTGCGGCAGATGAAAGCAGCTGCTGCTGTGGTGGTTCTGGTGCTGAGCGCGGCGACAGTGGTTACCTCTGTAGCTGTGCACGCTAGCGCCAACAAGACGCGTGCGGCTATCCACGAGCCACGGCGCCTGGTTTGGGAGGATCACGCTGCTGACCTCCAGAAGCGGAAGCTCGTCCGGAGGATGTATCGCATGGAGGAACCGGTCGGTGTTCAACTAACTGGCTGGGTTGCTGGAACCGATCCTCCAACGGAACGACTACTACGCAAGTGAGAATAGAGAGAGGGCGGGAGTAAGAGATGAGGGGGCGGGGGGGCAGGGAGAGAGAGAGAGAGTGTGATTGACGTACGAGGCGCAGAACTCATGCCGTGGTGTTTTTCCCGTCCTTCCGTTTGTTGTTGCTGATGCCGAAGTGTAGCATTGCAGAAGACCATGGTTGGTGTATTGGTTACAAGTGTAGAGCTGTAGGAACAAGGCGAATCATCCCGCAGCACCACCGCCCGCACTCTCACACCAGCAGGACGGTTTACACCAGCAGGACGGTGACCTCCGGTGTCTGACTAGGGTTAGGGTAACAGTTTCACCGCCCAGCACTTGCTATTTTCGTCTGTTGTTGATACGTTCACGCTATGCTTATTTTCTGCTTCATGCGACACAGGAAAACGGTATCGACGCGGTGCTGTTCCCACGAAGATCCGACTAGCTATCGGCTTGCGAATGATGGCCGGTGCTTCGTATCTCGATGTCGCCGTGCTGTTCGGCGTGTCCAAGGAGACGGTCTTCAGCATCTTGTGGCAGGTGGTGGATGCCATCAACAGCACAGCAGAGGTTGGGCCGTTCTTTTTTCCGCAGAGCGAGGATGAGTGCACCCGGCAGGCGGCAGAATGGGAGGTGCGGAAAAGATACACTATTTAGTTTACAGCAGCAGGGTAGATTGCATGCTTGCATTCCAGGTAGGTGACTATGATGTTGTGAACGAACACATGATCGTGTTTGGTGGCGGTTTAGTTTCAACATTACTTCGAATATAGATTACAGTATGCGAACAGACGCACGTGCGAACATGGCCAAGAACAGGCAAGGCGGCGAAAATGGACAGACAGGTGTTGTGCTGTGGTATGCCTACCGGGTCTGGTGTCGGAAGAGCCGTTCAACTTCACCTCTTCCGTAGGCTGCAGGCCTCCTAACGTGTATGGTACATAAGCAAGGCACCACGCTGCAGAGTCTGGCCCAAAACAAATGACGCGGATTGCATGGATGCATGCATGTCGGTCCTCCGCTCGGCAGAATATCCTGCTTGTCTAGACGCACCGAATAAGGAGCGAGCGGGAAACACTTGTGACAGCACGGGGAAACCTCTGTATCTTGTGTACACGTATTGGCTTGATGCATGGCGAAATGAGCTCCAGTCTGCACTGTATTGATTGGCATGTCTAGGAGAGGGCTCGTCTTTAATTGCTCGCACACGCCTGTACGTTTTTTCTGCGGTATAGTCGATGGGCTTGCCGCTGCCCGAAAATCAAACTTTAACGAATCTAAGAGCGCCTCTGTTGTGTCCCTCCCCGCGCGCCATGTCTATCCTCAGGAAAAAAGCACGGGCGGCGCCTTTCAAGGTGTAGTAGCTGCGGGGGATGGCCTCTTCGTGAAGACTCTTGCTCCGACTGCCCTCAACACTCCGAACGTTCTCTCGTATTATTCTGGGAGCAAGTGCGGCTACGGGGTGAACGTACAGGCGACATGCGATGCCAACTACCGGTTTTGCAGCATGTCTTGCATTGCACCCGGCTCGACCAATGACTGGACGGCATGGAACCATTCGGATCTATCCACAGCGGTAAAAAACCTGCCGCCAGGCTTCTACATGCTNAATTATTCTTTTATTTTTTTGCCTTCCGACAATTGCAGATGTACCTCAGAAATTTTCACTTAATGTCTCATACTCTACAATACTAAACCAAACGATACCAACACGCCAACCAAACGCAAGGTCCCAACAAGGCAACGCCAAAGGCAAAGGAAACTCCACGGAGCCTGTTGTCACACTTGGATGCAGTCGCAACCACAAAGAAAATAAACAAAACTATTATACGCACGCGTCATGATACTAAAACAATCTGAAACCCGATGGGGCCAACCCCTCGGCGGGGCACAATAATCGGTCAGCTCGTCGCATTCGCTCTAGCCGCCTCAACAGCAAGGNCGGTCAGCTCGTCGCATTCGCTCTAGCCGCCTCAACAGCAAGGTAGACTACGAGTTCTCGCTCATTTGCGCGGCTAC